AGTTTGCCAAAGACCATCTGGATGATCCAGAGGAGGCATGGGAGAAGGTCATGTGGTCAGATGAGACCAAAATAGAACTTTCTGGTATAAACTCCACTCGTTGTGTTTGGAGGAAGAACAAGGATGAGTACAATTCCAAGAACACCATCCCAACCGTGAAGCATGGGGGTGGAAATGTCATGCTTTGGGGGTGCTTTTCTGCAAAGGGAACGGGACGACTGCACCGTATTGAGGCGAGGATGGATGGGGCCATGTATCGCAAGATTTTGGGCAACAACCTCCTTCCCTCAGTAAGAGCATTGAAGATGGGTCGTGGCTGGGTCTTCCAGCATGACAATGACCCCAAACACACAACCAGGGTAACTATGGAGTGGCTCCGGAAGAAACATTTCAAGGTCCTGGAGTGGCCTAACCAGTCTCCAGACTTGAACCCAACAGAAAATATATGGAGGGAGCTAGCCAGTCTCCAGACCTGAACCCAATAGAAAATCTATGGAGGGAGCTGAAATTCTGTGTTGCTCAGCGACAGCCCCAAAACCTGAAAGATCTGAAGAAGACCTGTATGGAGGAGTGGGCCAAAATCCATGCTGCAGTGTGTGCAAACCTGGTCAAGAACTACAGGAGACGTTTGACCTCTGTAATTGTAAACAAAGGTTTCGGTACCAAATATTAAGTTCTATTTTTCTATTGTATCAAATCCCTTAATTCATGCAAGAAAATGTAAATAAATTATTTAAAAATCTAATGTGATTTTCTGGATTTTTTTTTTGTAGATTCTGTCTCTCACAATTGAGGTGTACCTACGATGAAAATTACAGATCTGTCCATTCTTTGTAAGTGGGAAAACTTGAAAAATCTGTGGTGTATCAAATACTTATTTTCCCAACTGTATATAGATAATTCACTTGGACAAATTTGTGGTCTGACAGATCAGCACTGCCATGCTGAGAGGTAGCATGGCTAAAAACTAACACGTCAACTCTACTCTGTCTGGGGTGTTGCTAAAAGTATGATGTGCATTTGTAACTGTCACAAAAATGCATTTGTTGCATTATTTGCCTTCACAGCTGGCATAGTGTGTGTTTCCCTTCGGCTCATGCTCGATTTACAGTACATTTACACTTGGTCAGAATAGTGTAATAGAATAGTTTTGTCATTATTCTGTGACAAAACACTTCTTTGAATGTAACATATTTTGTCAGAATTAAGGGATTTTTTTTTATTCATTATGATTTGTACACACACCTGTTGTGTTGACTTGGTCCTTGAGGCTTTGCCCAGAGCCGTGGAACTCCAGGAACAGAGTCGGGGTCACGGGATAGGACAGACAGCTAAACCTGTTACACGCATCTATCATCACATCATCCAGAAACTCTAGATAAAGCACACACATTCAGAAACAGTCAGCACACACAAAGAGCAATGACATATGTCAGTGTGATGCATCTAACAGGTCTTTTTTTTACCACTTTGGCCAACTTTGGCTTATTGCTCATAAATATATTTTCTAGCTGTCAATATCTGATAATGATCTATATTCACTGCTAATGGAGTGATCCATTTCTCCCTGCTTCCTCTTTGAACATGTGCAACAAACACAAACGCCATTCTGATAAAATTCTGCTTTACTCGTAAACTCATTCAACTTTGGCCCCATCAACTGTGCATATGTCTCTCTGTCTTTGTGGCAACCAGCATTATCCTTAGCACAGTTGGAAATGTGGATCAATCAAATCCATTTATGAGAATTTTAGTACACTGCATTACCTCTTTATGTGTCTGGCATAGTCTCATCAATGACAAACTACTTATTTACACTCTGTGATCAAAAATGTAACCAAGATGTCAGTAAACTAATTGCAGCAGACAACTTGAGTCTTGTTTAGATGGATCAGATGTGGTCAGTAAGAAGAGCACGGATTTGGGGGGCCACCTGTACTGAATGTTTACTTAAGCCTTATTTCTTTTAGATTAGTGTTGCACACTTTAGCCACACCACAGTGTGCCGAGTTGACTACATCTCACAGCATTCTGACCGTTGTTACTGTGTGGAAGTAGGCCTGGCCCATGATGGTCTCTACCTTCAGCCATGTCATGTCATGTCATAACTGTAAACTGATTGGATCAACATGTGTGCTCATGTCCAGCATCTGAAAATGCAGAAACCACCGTGCACTGATCCCACAGTTCACTATGGTCGACAGCACAAAGCCTGTCCACTTGCAGATTGTAATAAGCTAGTTTAATGGTTGACAATAACAGTCATGAGGTAGATAACACATTGGCATTAAAACATACAGTAATTATAGCAAAATCTTCACAAATCATCATTTGAAGTTTGTTCTTGAGACTGAATATTATTTCATACCCGAGATCAAAATGCAGCACAAATTTGACTATTTACACAAAATCAGCAAAGGAAAATGCTAATTAAGACATTTCCATCCACTACTGTAATGTGACTATTAGAAACTGGTTAATTGAGACAGAGAGATAGTAGCACTAATTCTCCAGTCAGGTACCATCAATCCACTGCAGAAGAAGAATGACAAGATGATGAAAATCCAGGGTTTGTTTGTGAACAGTTTACTGTTTTGTGACTCAGTGAGCCTCAGAAAGCTGCACGAGTCAATGGAGTAAGCTTCAGATCGATACAGTAATCCTTCAGGTCCATGGACGACTGTGTGTCTGGCTGTCGATATGGTGGAATTATACAGTACATAAAGTAACTATACACTCACCTGCCACTGTATTTGGTACAGTTGTATTGTAAGCAATTCAGTGCAATGCTTCCACCTTAACATCTGTGTTTATGAAGCTCAAAATATGATTCAACAAACACCCCACTGTTGATATAGAGGAACAGGGCCCAGTGAAAAGGAACAGTAACCTCTTCACAGGCTCTATTAAAGGAACAGAGCCATAAAATCAAACTCAGTTCAAAGAGCCGCTAGTCCCATTAGTTTATAATAGGTGGGGCACTAACTACATGTAAGGGTTTTTTGTGTGTGCACGTAATGAGCTGACATGGTTGCGCTGGCTGAACACTGGATTAAAGCGACTGTATTCCTAAACGGAAGATCTCTGCCGTATCTAACAGAAGCACTGTGTGCTCCCTTGGCTGATGTTAACTGGAGCAGTAAAGAGTAATTACAGCACAACACCTACTGTGCAGCTACTTTATGCAGTATCTGCAGAGTGTTTCCCCAATATAGGCAGTATACTGTAACTGGACTAACACACCAACTGTTCCTATGGATCAAGGGGAATAATAATGCAAAACTTAAGGTTTGTTTTACCAATATTACAACAGGGGTGGCCAATTCCAGTCCTCGAGGGCTGTTGTCCTGCTTGTTTTCCAACTATCCAGCCTGACCTGCTGCTGATTACCTGGCTCAGGTGTGTTCAGTCAGTCAGAAGCTGGAAGATACCAATTCACTTTATCTTTCCTCACTCCACTTTCATCTAAGATGGTATCTTCCAGCTTCTGACTGGATGAACACACCTGAGCCAGGTAATCAGCAGCAGGTCAGACAGGGATAGTTGGAAAACAAGCAGGACAGCGGCCTCGAGGACTGGAATTGGCCACCCCTGGCTTACAATTTCACACCAACAGTACCCCAATCAATACACCAAAAACCTATCAAAAATACTCTACAGTTCCCTATAGCCAAACAGATCTTTACTGTCACTAATTTAGCTTCACTCTGTTCATTTAGTACTGGATTCTGAGAATCAAAAGACACCAAACTTTTTTCTAAAGGTCACTGTAAGCTTACTAGATCGGATGCTCTGATGCCAACTAGCCATTCATTACAGTGTTTCTTGTATTACTATGGCCGGACCCAAATATCCAACTATTCGGATGTTCGTTGGGTAAGTAATCAGTTTCCAGTTTTAGTATCCCCGCCACTGCACAGGACTGCCAGTGACACCCACAATCTCATTAGAAAAGCTCAGTGTGGAAATCGTTTAGGTAGCAGCTTCTGATCGTCATGACTTCTGGTTAAAATTAAACCAGCAGGGTTATACCAAAGGTCACTAACTAATGTTAACTCTGTGACTTAAACTGATGACAAGACAAACTAGAGAATTGCATTTTCTGAAGAGAATGCGTATGGATGCTGAGTGCTGAAAGATCGCCCTGAAAATGCTGAACATTTTGACACCTCAATGGTTTTATTAGCTGAAAGTAAGCTGAAGTAGAATTTTCCCATTCATTTGAATGGAGTAAGATTTTCAAATTAAAGCTAAATATTTCAAGAGTATAAAGTTTAGAAAAATTCTGAAGAGAAGCATGAATGTCCTTGAAGAGCTGAACATTTTGATAGCTGAAAGTATGCTGAAGTAAAATTTCCCCATTCATTTGAATGGGGCAAGACTTTCAAAATAAAGCTAAATATTTTAAAAGTATGAAGTTTACAAAACTTCTGAATAGAAGCATGAATGTCCTTTATGAGCTGAACATTTTGATACCTGAAATAGCTGAA